GATGGGAGGAGGTGATGGGAGGAAGTGATGGGAGGAGGTGATGGGAGAAAGTGATGGGAGGCAGGGAGTGGTGAAGAAAAGAGAGCCTCTGTGGCTCTTCCACTACCTGTGCAAATGTCACTTAGCTCACAATTAGAGGACTGAAGGCTGTCATGTGGCCCCGCCTAGCTGCCAGAGGGCAGGAGATGTGAGGGTATTAATGGAGCACCTAGAACTGTCCTAATATTCGTCTCACCAGGTGTCTGCAAAATTGTGCCCTGCATGTGTGACTTTGCATTATGCTTGCCTCATTCCTAGTTCAAGAACAAAAAAGAAAGAAAAACATGTGCTTTGGGATCACCCATGAGCTCTCCTGTCATAAAGAGGGGGACATTGATGTTTCCCTCTGGATTTCTACATATTTTTTCTGAATCAACGCCACTTTCCATCAGAGTTTGGACAAAAGCAAAGGATACATGGTGTATAGCCGGGCCCAGAAATGAGAAGCACAAACTCCCAGGGCCAAGGATACTTCACCTTTTCTTCCTGGGCAACTAACTCTTCTACATCCTTGGCCAAAGCACCTTGCTCCTTAAGCTGAGAAGGCCAACCTTTTTTTTTGGCTTCATTGACCAAAGAGGCTCACATGGGTGGACGAGGGAGGAAGTCACATCCTTAATCTGGACAGATCAGCCAGCCCAGCCTTGGTGATGGAGAGGACAGCAGACGTCACAGGAGATCAGATGAGCCAGGTGCACAAGCGATGAGGACCAGGCACATGTGGGAGTCCGTGTCCAAACAAAAATTCTCCCAAGGGGGAGCAGAAAGCAGTGTCCAAAGAAAGGGAAAGGGGAGCTAAAAGAGCAGAGGGAGCTCGGGATTTCTGTTCAGACGACACTGACATCATCATCGAGGTCTCTAAAATCTGATGATGTCGGCCTGGAGTGGGGGGAAGATGAGAACACTAGAGGACAGAGGAGAACATGCTGAGCTCTGTTCTTAAAGAAGGCGGGGTGTGTGTGTGTGGTGTGTGCACATGTGTGCGTGTGTGTGGTGTGTGTGTGTCGGAGCTTAGTTCTTAAAGAAGGCAATGTGTGTGTGGTATGTGTGTGTGTGTGTGTGTTTGTGGTGTGTGTGTGTGTGTGTGTGTGTGTGTCGGAGCTTCATTCTTAAAGAAGGCGGTGTGTGTGTGGTATTTGTGTGTGTGTTTGTGGTGTGTGTGGTGTGTGTGTGTCTGTGGTGTGTGTGCGTGTGTGTGCGTATGTGTGGTGTGTGTGTGTCAGAGCTCCGTTCTTAAAGAAGGCGATGTGTGTGTGGTATGTGTGTGTGTGTGGTGTGTGTGTGGTGCGTGTGTGTGTGTGTGTGTCGGAGCTCCGTTCTTAAAGAAGGGGGTGTGTGTGTGGTATGTGTGTGTGTGTCTGTGGTGTGTGTGCGTGTGTGTGCGTATGTGTGGTGTGTGTGTGTCGGAGCTTCATTCTTAAAGAAGGCGGTGTGTGTGTGGTATGTGTGTGTGTGTTTGTGGTGTGTGTGTGTGTGTGTGTGTGTCGGAGACTGTGAAGCATAGGTAATAGTACAAGCTTGGTACTATTGCCTGGACCTAGGTTCTCACCACTCACCCCAAATCAACTGTTTAACTTGCTCAGACCTCAGTTTCCCCAACTGTGATTCACAGCCCATGAAGCTATTGTACGGATTAGGCTGGTGAGAGAAGGAGGACGTGTGCAGTTTGACGGCTGCTTCTTAGCACACTGAGAACGCAGACCACTTATTGAAAGTTATTGCTACTCTTGCTATAGACAGGACGGGAGAGGACCTCGGGCGCTAAGAGGACTCTAAAGAGAGCTCAGGACTGTGCACCCATGAGCCAAGCTCAGAGGACAGCGTTCCGGGAGAAGGAAGTCAGTCTTGGTTTCATTTCTGAGGACTTGTGAAAACACACACTGCCCAGATCAGACTTAGAACTAGACAGTCACAGTCATAGCAGCTGCCATGGGCGCCCATCCTGCACACAGCAGATAACTTGGAGCTTTCACACATAAACACTAGAAGGAGTTCAAGAGGTATTGCCGTGTTGCGAGGAAGGATACCGAGGTACAGATGGTTGGCAGAAGATAGGATTTAGCTGCATAAAGGGCGTGGTCGATCGGTAGTTAAAAATTAACCAGATGAGCTTTATATAAAAGATTTAGCTTTAATAAACAGAAGAAAGGAAAACTTACAAAACCAAGGTTCCAGCGATCTGGGGACTCAGTGGGCAAAAGAGAGGAAGCGGCAAGCGCACATGGATATTTTATTTGTTTTGTGTGGCCCCAGGGGGACACACCCTAAACAGAATGTGATTGGCTGAAGTTCCCCATCAGCTGCAGCTCTTTGTGCTGTGTTCATGTGTGCGTCTGTGTGTATGTGTGTCTGTGTGTGCACATGTGTGATCACATCTGTACCTGTGCATGCACCTGTGTGTCTATGTCTGTGCATGCACGTGTGTGTACATGCATGTATGTGTATTTCACATGGATGCATATATGTGTAAAGGTGGATTCACCTCTGCAGGTCACGTGGCAGTCAGATGCTAGGACGTGTCCCTCATCCCTCACACCTTAGCGTTTCACCCAGAGTCTCTCTCTGAACCCAGACAGATGTCTCTGCCCTTGGCACGGGGATGCCTGACGCACACTGCCACACCTGGATCTAATGTTGATGCTGGCGATCTGAAATCATGCTTACACAGCAAGCTCTTTACCCTCTGAGCTGGGTCCCACCCCTGGTTCTGGGTTCTGGAGCACAGCTTCTCGCTACCTGTCCATCATTGCCTACTTTCCCAGTATGCCCAGTGGCAGGGATGAGCTGTTCCTGCTTTGTGATCAACTCCAGCATTCACTGATGGGGCGACAATGCCACGAGGTTTGTAAGGAGCCGGAGCCCAAACACAGATGTCCAGGGTCAGGCAGGGGACGTACATGAATGTGGTGTTCAGGTTAGGAAACAATGGGGACTGTGCGGAGCCATTTGAAAGGGAGCAACCACCCCTCAGGATGCTGACCCCGTTTTTAAAAGGAGTCGGAAATCTGATTGAGATGTTGACAGCCACACTGTTTAAACCCACACTAAAAGAGAAAATGATGCTCACACCTGCAGGTTAGAGCCAATCGGAGGTGCCAGTCTGAGGTGAACATTCAGATCAAACATCGGATTGCCAAAGCTGGAGAGACAGCTCGCTGGTGAAGTCTGTCTCCTGCTCTTAACCAGGCACTGAGTTTGGCTCCCAGCACCCACACTGGGGAGCTCACAACTGCCTTTAACTGCAGTTCCAGGGTCATCGAACACCTTCTTCTGGCCCCCACTAACACCCACCTACACGCATATAACACACACACACACACACACACACTTCAAAAATAAAATATTTTCTTTAAAAAAAAGAGATGCTTGTCCCTAAGACATCACACCCAAGTGTTTTGAACAAGGGACCCAGAAGTCCTCACTCATGAGGAATTCCACAATTCATAGTACAAATGTTTCCAGATAGTGTCAAGGCATTGATGTGTGCATGCCTATGATTGAAGCTTCTCTAATACAAGTAAAAGCTATGAATTGAGGTCACCCAGCCACTCTTCCTCAAGAGTTGTGTCTCACAATGGTTAGAGCACATCCTAGCTCTGACCTGGGTGAGTTTTACCAGGA